TTACTTCTTTGTCTGAGAAATGTCTGTTCATTTCGGATGCCCATTTTTGAATCAGGTCTTTATATTTGGGGGGGCTGATTGTTTTGAGTTCTTTATTTATTCTTGATAATAGTCCTTTGTGTGAGGAACAGCTTGTGAAAATATTTTCCCACATTGTAGATTGTCTCTTAGTTCTGCTGATGGTTTCTTTTGAAGTACAGAAGCTTTTTAATAAGATGAGATCCCAGTTATTCATTCTATCTGCTAGTTCCTGTGCTACGGAGGATTTGTTCATAAAGTCTTTTCCTATGCCAATGTCTTCTAGAGTTCTGCCTAACTTACCTTCCAGCAAGTTTAATGTTTCTTTTTTAATATTTAGATCTTTAATCCATTTGGACTTTAATTTTGTGCATGGTGAAAGATAAGGGTCTAGTTTTAATCTGTGACAGGTTGACATCCAGTTTTTCCAACACCATTTATTAAAGAGGCTATCTTTGCTTCACTGAGGATGGTCAGCTCCTTTTTCAAAGATGAGGTAGCTGAGTACATCTGGGTTTGTTTTTGTGTCTTCCAGTCTGTTCCATTGATCCTCAGGCCTATTTCTTTGCCAGTACCATGCTGTTTTTATCACAGTGGCTTTGTAGTATAGTTTCAAATTGGGAATTGTTACACCTGGTGCCATGTGACTGTTGCCTATAATGGCTTTTGCTATTCTAGGTCTCTTGTGGTTCCAAATGAATTTTTGGATTCTTTTTTCTAGTTCTGTGAAATATAGTGTTGGAATTTCAATTGGCATTGCATTGAATGTATATAGCAGTTTTGGTAGTATGGCCATTTTCACTATGTTGATTCTTCCTACCCAGGAGCAGGGGATATCTTTCCATTTTTTTATATCCTCTTCAATTTCTTTTTTCAGAGTGCTGTAGTTTTCAGTGTATAGATCTTTTGCTTCTTTTGTTAGATTGATTCCTAGATTCTTCATTTTTTTGGATGCTATTGTAAAAGGAATTTTTTCCCTTATTTCTCTCTCAGTGAGACTGTTATTTGTGTATAAGAAGGCTATTGATTTTTGGGTATTCACCTTGTATCCAGATACTCTACTGAATCTGTCAATTAAGTCTAGAAGTCTTTTGGTGGAGTTTTTTGGGTCTTTGATGTAGAGTATCATATCATCAGCAAATAATGACAGTTTAACTTCTTCCTTTCCTATCTTTATTGCTTTAATTTCTTTATCTTTTCTAATTGCTGTGGCTAATGTTTCCAGAACTATATCTAAGAGGAGTAGTGATAATGGGCATCCATGTCTTGTTCCTGATTTTAACATGAAGGTTTTCAGTTTTTGGCCATTTAATATGATGTTGGCTGTTGATTTTTCATAGATAGCCTTTATTAACTTGAGGTATAGACCATCTATTCCAATTTTTTGCAGGGTTTTTATCATGAATGGGTGTTGAATTTTATCAAATACTTTTTCTGCATCTATTGGGAGGATCATATGGTTTTTGTCCTTGACTTTGTTAATATAATGTATTACATTTATTGACTTTCATATGTTGAACCACCCTTGCATCTCTGGAATAAATCCAACAGTCAGGATGGATGATCTTCTTGATAATCCTCTGTATTCTGTTTGCTAGTATCTTATTAAGGATTTTTGCATGTATATTCTAAGGAGATT